CATGTACATGTTTTAGATTTACCTAGAAATCAATCAAGTGCAGTTGGTGAAAGTCCACTCCCCACCACCCTACAGACAAGGGGAAGTTGTTAACATTTACACTTTAGTTTCAATTTTGTATTATGTAAGTGAGAGAAGAGATCTGGCCACTTTGATGTGACTCACTAGGATTTGTTTATGGAGGAAGCAGAAGAGAGGAGTAGTAGGAGAAAAATTAATTTAAGATTATATGAAAATAAAGAGAAAAGTGTACAAAGAGAAAAGTGGTAAAGAAAAGTAAGAAAACAAAAGAGAGGGGATAGATGAAAAGGAAGAGAGATGGGGGACGGATGGGGAGAGAAGGGGGACGGACCAAAAGGAAGAGAGAGAGGGGGGACGGACCAAAAGGAAGAGAGAGAGGGGGACGGACCAAAAGGAGAGAGAGAGAGGGGACGGACCAAAAGGAAGGAAGAAAGAGAGAGAGGGGGGACGGACCAAAAGGAAGGAAGAAAGAGAGAGGGGACGGACCAAAAGGAAGAAAGAGAGAGAGATGGGACGGACCAAAAGGAAGAAAGAGAGAGAGATGGGACGGACCAAAAGGAAGAAAGAGAGAGAGATGGGACGGACCAAAAGGAAGAAAGAGAGAGAGAGAGGGGGGACGGACCAAAAGGAAGAAAGAGAGAGAGGGGGGACGGACCAAAAGGAAGAAAGAGAGAGAGAGGGGATGGACAAAAAGGAAGAAAGAAAGACAGATTATGGACAAAAAAAAAAAAAAAAAATAACGGGACTAGGAATAACCAAAAAAGCTAAAAGGAATGTAAAAAGAGCAAAAATAAAGAAGTTTCTTGTTAGAGGGTAAAAAGTTGAGAAATTAAAAAAAAAAAAAAAAAAAAAAAAACTCAAAATGCAATAAATATGAGGGGAAAAAAGACAAGTGCTTATTTTTTTTAATGTTTTTCCAACATGGCAGTACAGACCATTATGGATTTGAATCAGTTCATCCAATCAGTCAAATCAACTTGAGTGGCACGTGACTAATATGTCACATGGTGCTGAACTTAAGCATCAGGAAGGAATTGTCTGCAGTTTATGCAAGGAGAGAGCAAGAGAGAAGGGCCAGGGTAGTGTGGGTTGGTGGCTCAGTGGCAAGAAAGGTGAGAAAAGAGGCTGTGAGAGGTCAGAAGAGGCCAACCATAATGGAATTAAAACAGATTCTCACTGTGTCTGCAGGCTGGAAACACAAGGCCAATTTCCAGCAAGTAGCTATTCATCAAATTTGTTTCATCAGCTATTATCATCAATATCCAAGGACAGAGATGTGTGTATATCTGGAAAGCTATGGGAAAGAAACACCTGGTCGTCTATATGTATAAACTCATGCATTTGTGAATACAAATTGGATGAATGAAAAGATAAAAAGTTTGTTTGCATGCAGATATAAGTTTGCAAAAGCAAGTTTAAATAAGAATATATATATATATATATATATATATATATATATATATATATATATATATGTGTGTGTGTGTGTGTGTGTGTGTGTGATTATTTGAAAAACAAAAACCAAATTAAACCAAAAATATCATAGAATATAAGGAAAACATAAGCCTACAACAATGTGATACTATTTGTTGTTACCACGGTAAAATAAAGCCTAAAAAAGTTTTCTTATTAATAGTGCTTGGAAGGAAAGTGTGTAGAGTGTGGTCATCTCTCCATACTACAGAGGTTCCATCAGTGACCATGGCTTGTGTATCAGTTTTTGTCTAAGCACTGCATTCCCCAGAGCTGATAACCACCATGTTCCCCAGATGTAATCTCATGCTGTGAGGCAGCTGCTCACTATCCATGAAAAGGTGTGTTGAGAGACATTGAAATGAGAAGAGTTAATACCAAAAACTTGTGGGAAGAATTGATAATTTTAATTCTCATATAGACGACCACCTGAATTGTGCGCGGAGAGTTTGAACAATGGAAGACTGACCCAGACTACGAGGGCAGTGTTGACTGACAGGTGTTCTACACAGCTGGAAATGCAAACCATAAAGCAAAAACTTCATTTTTCGTAAACAACAAATTTGGAGTTGATTCTCCTGGTCAAAGGTTGATTCAAGACAGTCAATAAATATGAATGTGTGAAGTGAATTCACCAGTAGGAGAGAGAAGTGATGGAGACGAGACTAGAGACAGGAGAGAGGCCCATGTGATTATCTACTGGCGAAAGTCTCCGACTTCAGCCTTGTGCCAAACTTTACCAAAACAGCAAACCAAACTTTGCCAAGTCAACAATGATAATATCACTTCCGATTTAGATGTGGGTTGGGCTGATAATTAATTGCATGTGAACTGATATAAACCCATTATTGCATGGAGGACTGATATAAAAACAGTATTTACTTTTGTTCAATTTATTAGAGTGTTATTTATTTTTCTTGTATGTCTTTGCCCAACTTAGACCAGCCCAACGCGAAGATACCTGCGATGATTTGATCTTGGCTGCCTTATAATCAAACTTAAATCACAATGTGTGATAAGGTTGGCTCTGGATTGAAGCAGTAATGGTGGTGGAATGATAACAATAATTGTAATTATTATGATGGTAGTTTGAACTAGAAAATAATTGGTGTTATGGTGTCAGTGGTTTCTCTTTTCATCTTTATAGGGTCAATGGTGGTTTATGTTGTCGTGTTTGTTGGTATTTTTTTATCGGTTTAGCATAAATTCTGATAATAGGTATTTATTTTCATGCCTGCATTTGGAAATTATTTCTGACCTTATGTTTAGTAAATTCTTTTGTTGGGTATGAGAAATTATTGCTACCTTTTTGTGTAGGCAATGTAGGCATTTCTTTGTAATGTCATTGTAAGCAGGCACTTTTTTCAATATTTTCTGTTGGAGAATGAAAGGTTGTGGTTGTTGTTGTCTTCTTGAATGGTCCCTCAGTGGCACCAATGTAGTACATTGTGCTGTTGTTTGCACTTACCTTGGCTTTATATGTTATATTTGTTGGCAATTTCTTTGGAGTGGACATGTTGTTTTATTTCTGCAGTTGCATTGAGGTTCCATAGTTGCATTATTGTAGGTTGTTATTTTTTTTGTTGTGTCTTTTTATTATTTGCGTTATATTTTTTGTGCAGCTGTAACTGATTTTAACATTAATTTTGCTGAATATTTTTGCTAATTGGTTTGTTTCAGGAAAGTGCATATATATATTATATATATATATATATATATATATATTTGGTTGGATAGATGTGAGTTTTGTGACCCAGGGTCACAAACTCACATCTATCAAAACCAAATATGTTAGCTCTATCTCTGATAGAGCACTTTCTAATAAGTACCATGATATAATATATAAATAATTATACATACTTATATTTATTTATATACACTTTTCACATATTATATATATATATATATATATATATATATATATATATATATATATATATAGTGTGTGTATACAAGGTCTGATAAAAAAAAACTAACACATATCAATACGCCCATCTAATCTCCTTCAAATTATCCTGCCTGAAGCCACACTTTTATCCAGAGTTGTTTGCACTGATAGAAGCTTTCTTGGAACTCCTTTTCATGGATAGTGAGCAGCTGTCTTGCAGCATGGGATTACATCTGGGGAACATGGTGGTTATCAGCTCTGGGGAATGCAGTGCTTGGACAAAAACTGATGCACAAGCCATGGTCACTGATATGACCACACTCTACACTCTTTTCTTCCAAGCACTGTTATAAACAATGAAAGCAAGCAAGAACATTATAACTTGTGTGACAAAGTTCAAGGTCAATCTCTGCAAAGCAGCTTCATTGCATACTTTAGCTCCATTACATTCTTGATTGTGTGTGTGTGTGTGTGTGCGCGCGCGATGGGTAAATTGTCGCCAGTTTATATTTTTAATTTTGTGTATGTACGTTGTTTGTTTTTGATGACTGTACAGTATAGTAAAGGCAATACACTCCACCATAAATTTGGAAGCACAATGTTGTACTGTTTAGCATCCATGCCAAAGGCTCCAATACAAACATTTCAGAGTGTTTAGGTGTCAATCTGATGACAGTGTACATTTAGAAAAAGTTGGAGGAATCTAATAGTGATTAGAATAACAGTTAGGAAAACTCACCAATTGTTCTGATAAGGAAACAACTGAATTTGTTGGTGAGAACTTCAGATTCAACACAGAGGCCTCCATCAAGTTTCTTGAGGTGGTAATGCTGCCCTGGTTAAAGAAGGTGGCTGCTGGAAGACCCTATGTCTGGCAACAGGACTCTGCACCATGTCAGAAAAACAGGAAAACACAGTCATGACTGTCAGCCAATGTCTGCAACCACATCACCTCTTGATTATTGTGTGTGGGGCACAGTTGAGCAAGGGGCCAATGAAACTCCTTGTAACACCAAAGATGAATTGAAGGCAAGGATTATGGCAGCATTCACCAACTTAAAGAGACAATCCAGAAGAGTTGCATATGGAGGCCATGCTTGGAGCCAATGGCAATTTTATTGAATAAATTTACTCTTTAGTATTACAATATTTTTTTGTGTAATTTTGCAAACATATTAGTTAAAATGAGTGTTAGTTTCAATTTTGCATAATTTAGATGACAATTCATCTATTAATATATATATATATATATATATATATATACACACACACCTAGAATGGACATGATTAATTAGTTTCATGAACAAAGAGTTTCCTGTTATATAACCCAGATGGGCATATCATAAAGTGCTGGATTTATCAGTTTCTAAAATTTACATTGAAATTAATGTTAATATGCCTGATAGGTTGCTAAGCAAACAAAGCCAGTTACCAAAAGTCTGCTGGATTTTTAGCAAGCTCATTAGTCATGTCAACTTCCTTGAGGTTATGGAGTTATGGGTCTGGGTGTAATGGTAATACTGAATCTTACTAATTCTTACTTAGTTTAATCTGTATTCAGTATTTTATGGATTTAGATTAACATTTTTAAACCTGTTTTTTTCCATCAAACTCCCATCCGATTAACCACATCCCATATTTTTCTCCTTCACTCAGAACTATTAAGTCTCTCGATACCTTTGGTAACTAAGCATTTTCCATGCACTAGTATGACTCAACTAGGGCCACTGTCTTGAATTCTGTTCTCTCTTGATCAGACTGGCATATTCTAAATCAAAACTGATCAGTTGTATTATGGTCAACCACCAATGTGATTAGAATAATATCGGTCAATTACTAATGTGATTAGAATAATATAATAGACTACCTACATTGTCTATTTACCTATACAGGTCAGTGAGGCAAACTAAAACACATTTAAGCATGAAACAGGCTGTTGGCTCTGGGTATTGACTTTAATGTCCACTTTTATATCTACATATGCTCTATCCCTGACATTAATACACAGTTTTGTCTTTCTTTTAGTCAAACTGATGATGCCAAAGAGAATATATGCTTTATCCCATGTCTATGATAAAAAAAATTTCCAAAATTTAAAAAAAAAAAAAAAAAAAAAAAAGATGCTCCTGCGTAAGATTCCTTCTGGATATTGGTAACTTCCTTTTTACTGAGAGTTTGTTTTTTGTATTCCATGTCAATAATATAGTTAAATTTCCCAGAATAATTCTTTAAATTTTGGATTTGATGTAACTATGGCTACAAAACATTTTGCTTTCATTGCTTGCCTTCATAAAGTTGGGAGACAAAACATGTCAACAAGAACTAAGAATTTTTTTCCCAGTTGTCATTTTTAAACAAATTTGACTTATTTTTAGAATTACTCT